TTTAGCTAGAATTGGATTTTTAGTTAGCCTCTATTATCTTTAGCTTTAAACAGCATTATGCTACATTAATTTAATACTTTTATTCAGCCTTTTGCTTCTATGTATATTTTGACTTTTAGCTTTTAGTGTTCCTTTTTCTCATTTTGGTTTTATGCCAGCCTTTTGCTACTTTTTGATTCTAGCTAGCCATTTAAATTGAAGTCCACAATGTCCAAAAAACATGCGTTCAACAACTGGTCCAAAATGCTGCAGCCCGATTTTTAACTGGTACAGACAAAAGAGAGCACATTACACCAGTTCTGGCCTCGCTGCACTGGCTCACTTTCGAATTCAGTTCAAAATCTTTCTATATGTTTTTAAATCTCTGAACAGTTCTGGCCCCTCCTACCTCACTGATCTGCTGCAGCCATATGTAGCGCTCGCTGAGGTCAGCAGACCAGATGCTTCTATTGGTTCCAGGAACCCGTCCTAAGCTCAGAAGTGACAGAACCTTCTTGGTTGCAGGTCCAAAACTGTGGAACGAGTTACCACTACAAGCCAGGCAGGCTCCCTCTCTCACTGTTTTTAAGTCTCGCTTACAAACTCACTTTTATTCTCTGGCTTTTGACAACGTGTGATTTTGTTTTGAACCAGTCTGTATTCAACAGCGTTAGCCATTTAGTTCTTATCTTTTCCATTTGGATCTATGTATTTTTTGCTGTTTGCTTGTTTGTTTGTGCTGCGCAGCACTTTGGTTGGCCTAGTTGCTGTTTTAAGTGCTTTATAAATAAAGTGGTATGGGATTTGTTCCATCCATCCATTATCTTTACCCGCTTCTTCCATTTTGGGTCACGGGGGTCACCAGTGCCCATGTACAACAGTCACTGTGCGAGGGGCGGGGTACACCCTGGACATGTCTCCAGTCCATCACAGGGACACATAGAGACAAACGAGACAAACAACCATTCACTCTCTCACTCACACCTAGAGACAATTTAATTACCAATCAGCCTAACATGCATGTTTTTGGTCTGTGGGAGGAAACCGGAGTACCTGGAGAAAACCCACGCATGCACGGAGAGAACATGCAAACTCCACCCAGAAAGGCCCCCGGACCGGGATTTGAACCAGGGACCTGCTCGCTGAGAGGCAGCAGCTCTACCAGATATTTGTTCCATTTAGCAAATATTTTAAAATGTTTGCCTTTTAGCTAGTGTTTAGCTACTTTTAAGTTTGAATTCGCCTTTGTTACCTTTAGCATTCAAGTAGCATTTTGTTACTTTTAACTTGTAAATACAGTTTATTTTTTAGCTAGCCTTTTGAAACAATTAGATTTTAGCTAACATTTAGTTTGTACTTAGCCTTCGTTACTATTTAGCTCTTGAATAGCATAGCTACTTTGAGCATTTAGCAAGACTTTTAATACTTTTATTTAGCGTTTTTGTTGCCCACTAGTCATTTTAGCTTGTCTTTTCAAAATATTGCTATTTGTAAAGCTAAACCTTTGCTGCCTTTAGCTATTTGTTGCTTTTAGCTCTCAGCTTTAGCTTTAGTTCTACTTTTAAGCTAGCATTTTTTTTTAGCTTTTGGGGTTACTGCCTTTTTAAACCAGAGAACTAAGCTGAAATCATCTGATGCCAAGAGAGGATGGGATTTTAGCTGTTTTGGTAAAAATGATGTAATATTATGAGATCTCAAAGCCACAGACAATAAAAATGGCAGCTGAGATCATGAATGACTTAACAATTTATGGGTTATGCGTAGAAGTATTAAACATTAGAAGGAGAAAACAAAAAAACCCCTCAAATTTCTTTTTTTAACTTGTTTGAAACAAATCAGAAGCAGTCTTCAGAGTCGGTCACACCAGTACTCTGAGGTCTCAATGTGCGACGGCCCGTCAATACAGAAGACCTCTGGAGGAGTCTGAGGAGGACTGTTGACCCCCGAGTCATTGTCAGGGTTGGGCCTCGTCGTCTCTTCGGCTGCGTATTTCGCCTCCGGCTTCTGAACAGGCAGTGACCTGGTCTGGGCCTTGGGTTTGATGTTCTTGAAGCGCTGCAGACGCACCACCTCCCTGCTCTCAGCTCTGCAGGGCAGCAGCACCGAGGCGTCCCTGCGGAACCTGGAGCTCATGCCGAAGTAGATGAGCGGGTTGTAAAAGCTGGCGGACTTGGCGAAGAGACGGGTGACGATGCTGGTGATGCTCGGCACGTGGAAGCCCCACGCCGACCACATGGACACCACCGCATAGGGTGACCAGGCCATGATGAAGGCAGTGCAGATAACAATTGAAATCTGGTGAGGGACAAAACACAGACAGAAAATTATAAATGCATGAATGCTGATTCATTTGAAATGCCTGTTTTTT